GTGTACGCATGTAGAATCGTGCGAATAAAAAACCAGAAATAACTAATCACATTATAGAATGGAACTACAGTGTTCATAATCCGTTGCTATTTTAGCACGTGAAGCACTATTTTACCTCCTCTTAGGCAAAACCCGTAGCTGGTGATTACAGGACTCAATGATGTTTGGCACTGGCAGTGCTGAACGTTCGGAGGCCAAGCTTAGATTGATTGGTTGTTTCCAATATACAGACGTGGTGCTTATTTGGATGCTTTCTGGGTGAACATTCCATAGACAGATGTGATTACATAACCTGTCTCAGCTTTGTGGAAAACACGGACTTCGCGTGGGGCATCTGCTCGTCTAGGTTAGGGAATGCTAAACCAGAATTTTATCATCACTCGATGGTAGTCCTGTGACTTGGCTGCCGAATTCATTTTGTTCAAGAAGCAGAAGTTAATCCGTTTTGCGGATTATTCATCAGGGTTAAACAGAGGATTCTCAAAATGAATTGTAAACCTAACGCGAGTAGGTAATTCACAGACTTTGGGAACCTGAAAAAGCTGTTAAAAATAAATGTGACATGTTCACAGTAATTAGGAGTACATAAGTTGGTCTATGTGAAGTATACGGTTTGTTTCTGAAGGTAGCTGGGACAACTATTTGTATTATGGCTCTGTAGATCGCTTATGAGTTGAGGGGGACAAACTGCAAGTCTTCGAAAGGCTGGTCACTCAGTAGTGTCTTGGAAGCGTGCATGGCTGAGACTTCACCAGAATTTTTGTTAAGTAAGATCCCTAGTGGTAGAAAACTGACCATTCCAACCCAAAACCATTGAAACAAGGTCTGAATGAAAGGGGTGGAAGTCGGTCGTGAACTACTAAAGTGCAACTTGCGAATACCAACGCCTGCTGCTCATGGGGAGATGCAGGAACCAAAGTAACTTTTAAGTTTACTGAAGCTTATTCAAATTGGAAAAAGTAGGCTTGAGCGGTCGGAAAATATTTGAAAAATTGTTGCCCCAAAGTACTCTACAGGATTTTAGTGTGGATCGTTGTATCTACTGGCATTTTTGCTCCAGGATGTCGCACTAAAGCCGTTCCATTATTTGAAGGACTGATGCGCTCGATAAGTCATTAAATATCAAATTTCCATTTGACTATAGAACGGCACAAGTTGACAACCCACTTTCAGGCCCATGGTCCGGTGGGTTCACAACTACGACTGGTGATAGGTGATCTTCGGAGCAAGTTTTCAGGTTGGCCGGACAACAAAAAATGCTTAGGAGTTGCTGTATTTAATACGTAATTTGAGCGGTCGGCCACCTTATAGGATTGTGAGAAAGATGTGCAAACGTCCACTTTTGGATCGGTTTCGATTACCTGAAACATATAACTTAAACAAAATATGACTGCCCTCTCCTCGAAGATCACCTGTAGAACGCCCATTAGAGCCGGTTTCAACCATCACTCCATCATTCAGAAGGCATCATGCCTCGAAAGAAACGGCTTAAGTTCGATTTCTTCTTTTAGTATCTATGGAGGGATCTAGCCGTACTGACCTCCGTACGTTATGAAAGTCAAATATTTAGTTCATTTTCGAATTTAAAAAACCGCCAACTTTCTGAATAGGAATGCTGGCCGTCCGAAACTAGCAAGTTGCTCTCACAAGCAGGACTTCTCTAAACTGCTCACATTTCACTAGTGTTTGTTGACCAGCTGACGTCCGACAAGATGATGACAAGACTATGGTAATGCAGACGGATAATGCCGAGACACCCCGTATCGTTTGATTGAAAGCTGTTGTGAAGTATCCGAAAACAGACAGGTAAATTTCTGTCCGACCAGCACCGGACTAACTGGTCGCTGCAGCGTAGCACTTAGGAATCTAGCCATTGCCACATGGTTTACAAATAACCTAGAGCAAAACAGATAGACTAAACACTTCGCTAGGCAACAGTGATGTGGGGCCAAAACCTATGACAGTGAGTCCAAGAGGACTGTGTTCATACTGTTTGATTTCAAGAGTGAAAATTCAACTGATCCGACGACCAAGCATCTGGCTTCGGCATTGAAGGGGATGAGAGATGTGGATTTATGGATCACAAACCAGACGCGATTGTTGCCACACACTCCAGTCAAAGGAACTAGACCAACAAGGTCCAAGTAGATCATTCAGTAATCAGACCAGTGCGAAATTTTATGGGAGCGGGAAGTCGTACAATACTGAGAAGGATGTTTACGGTCGAGTAATCAAGCTTTATTTCGCAGACCGAGTGTTATACTAACACTGGTTCATCACTCGAAGTTGTTAGTTAACAGGGTTTAGATAGAAACGGCATCGTAAGTTCGATTACTCTACTCACAGATGCAGCAGATCTAAAGCGATGAAGTTACTAGAGTACTTTCAACAACAGGTTGTTGGTCGTTAATGATACTTTAAAGGTTTCTATAAGAACAGGATAAATAAGCTTGAGTAGTGGATACGGAACAGTAAATATGCCTGGCTAACGCACCTACAGCTGGGATCCACAGAAAACAATAACAGAGATGGAGTGGGGAAGTTAACAGAGAACAATGGAGAATGAAGAGCATAACCAGCCGCATACTTTCGCCTATCCCTCCTGCTGAATGCACCGAATAAAGATACCCGGTAGGCGCCACCACCCAATATAGTTGTTTATACATTGCAGATTTGTTTTTAGCTGATACCAAGGCACTAAAATACAAACAAGAGGGTGACACGGCTCCTCAAACAAAGCCTCTGGCTTGAGATCGATACCAAACCAACCCGACTTTCATGTAACGATTCGCCAGACATTCCACTTCACAACTTAGTGTGCAAGGAATTTGTTTCACGGCACGATGCATTGACCAAAATGGTTCGATCGATCAGCCTAGTCCGGTCTGTTCGCGAGGGTCACGAATGGTCACCAAATGTATTATCAGTTATTCATAACTCGCCTGTACCGACAAATAAAGCAGTGGACCTATTTTATTAGCACAAAACAAGGCCCATGAAATTGAAAGTCATCTCGCATTGAAGTGGAAGGTAGAAACAAACAAGTGAACATTTTTCTAAGGTGTCGGCGCTGAGGACTCGGGGATCAAGGCAAAACATTTTGGACTGAAAGCTATGCACTGCAAGAAACAACATACATCCAGAACTAAGAATATTGTTCACATCCCCTAGTTTTTGAGAAATAAAATCGATATCTCACCTGCATCTCCTGGTCAACTGTGTTTTTTAAGAGAATTGTTTGATTAGCCCTTAAGTACAGAATTCACCCAGAAGTAGGGGTTACATACTCTTCTGCTGAGCACAGAAGTCAACTCAGTCTGCATTCAGCAGCTTCACTCCCTTTATTTGAGAAAAAGATTGTTGTGACATGGACCTTCAAGCGGTCTCCACTCATAACCTACGACCATAACATAAAAAAGAAGTTCATTGTTCAATGCTGGTAATACAGAAAGAGACCCTTACTATGAAAATACTGAACAAAATGGAATAATTCGGACCTAGAACTAGCGAAGAGTGCCTAAAAATCACCGATTGGGCAACCTGCTTCCACTGGTTTGTGATTAACACGTTGGACTCTGAAGAGGGACATTTTCCAGACGATGTTTTGGCTTCTTGCTCAAATATCAAAGATGGTCGAGGTCGAATGGCAGGATAGGTTGCTACTGACAGTACCGGAAAATTTAACTTCCTACCCATAACAAAGTAATGTTGAACTTCAATTTTGATATTTATGGAAACGAAAACATAGTGTAGGAATTTAAACTACACTCGAAATAAAAGGCGAATTATTCGGCGGTAGACACTGAGCGTTTTCAAAGTCTAGTCACACTGACAGTTCAAGCTGGAATAAGACAGCTAAAAAGTCGGTTTTCTAGGTACCCTATTAATGCCAAAACTGTTGAGTCACGTAGCCACCACGTCATCTGCAACTACTATAGCATTTTTGCTATCATCTTGAGTATTTCACTATCACCTTAGTGGCAGTGAAGCGAATGACGACCTAGTACAGTATTATATCCAACAGCCCTATCATTAGAGCAATACTCTGAGTGGAAACTTGGAATTTCAGATTGTGAACCGCTTAAAATAATACCTAAGACTGGTTGGTGAGGAACAGAGTGACGCTAATGATCTCCAAAATACCTTTGTACCGGTCAGTGCGGCTCACGTACTTCGACCATGTTTGATTGTAACTACCAGAAACAGTGCTTAAGTTGGTCATGCGAAACCTACGATATTTCGTAAATTACATGCGGTTTAAAAGCGGAAAAAAGTAATACTATTACTTGACGAATGCTTTAGTTGACAACTCACGGATGCGAACATTTTCCCCACGTGTTAAAATAATGTACCCAGAAACGCGTGTCATTTATTCAGTAGCATATTTCGTAGTGCGCACTTCGTCACATTTTGCGTGTCGAGCATACCTAACCTTTAAGTTATTTTATCTCATATAGAAAGTTTTGATAGGATAGATGTCGCTACAAGAAATGAATTTGTGATTTCCAAAGCGTTTTTCCCCGTATAAGGAATACTGTATAACAAACATGCATAGAATATCATCATCACATCAACAGGCTCATTACGTGATGAAAATTAAAGGCGATACAAAGAAATTCAGATAAAATCAATAACCTAGTGTGTGACGAAATGCTTAATTAAACCCAGATAACACAGTCAAAATTACTTACGCTCATGGCCGCATTATCAGTAAAAGTTTCGTTTATATCACTCGCATTTTCTAGTTGATGGTTTTTACGGAAAACAGTTTGATAACTTAATCTATCTATGTGCTTTTCGGCCAGACACTTCACGTCTTATTGATCGTACGTGGTTTGTGATGGAGATAACATATACCTACCATCGCTAATTACTAAACGAGAGGTGGACACGGTCCAGATTTCTCTGTAACACCAACGACATGACAAAGTCCCGGTTGTGCATTGACAAAAACCGAACGGCTTCATGCATCAAGCTACAATATCATCGGATAAACTCACAACAAGTTTTTTGCTCAACTGAAGGTTATCACTGGTATTTTCTGAAGCAGGAAGGCTTTGAATCCATTGGTCCACCCAGTCAAGATTCTGGGTGAGGCTGGTCGGTTGAGGTGTGTGAGTACGCTCAGGATTGGAAAATTGACTAGGTTGATGTGCGGATGCTTTTCCAAGACCTGCAGACTGCAGGAGATCCAACTTGTTGGGAGACTCGAAAGCCCCTTCATATGAGTGTATAGATGGCCTTTTTGATATTCTGGTTGCGTCATCTCAAAAGAAAGAAGAAATTGAATGTATGGGTCCAGCAAGTCCTTCATTTAATGGTGTTCTAAATACGTAAATTTCTGAAATTCGACAAAAAACGACATCACGCAGTTGGAACCAAAGAGCATAAACTAAGTGGTGGATTAGGCTTAAAACACCTAGTGTAATTAATAGAGTTGTAAATTCCTAGTAAAGTGCAAGTGTGGTTTATAGGGGACTATAATTTCGCTATCTGTGAACATGAGTTACAGAGGGAGAGAATATCCACTACCAGGGACCCCTGTATAAAATGGTGACATACTGTGGCTTGTTTGGACGTACGTCAATACGTTTCGAAAAGTTGAAGATTACGAAAGGTACAAAAAGAGGTATATAATTCCAAAGTTTGAGCATGTTGGTGAGGTGAAAAGAAAAGCTCAACGAAGGAGAAAAGTAACTTGATGGAGATAAAAAAAGCTGATGGTATGACTAAGAGTTTGTGGGAGAACGAGGACAAGCGTTATCTCGGAAGAGTGTTTTCCGTGGCAATGTCAAGAGAATGAACATCACCACTCAGAAAGCAGGTAAGGAGTGAGCCGATCGGATGGGTTGGGAAGAAGACGTCAGTTCGATCATAGGAAGAGATGAAGAATAGGAAATGCGGTTAGTTACAAATCAGAAAAAGCGGAGCGGAGAGATAAGAATGTGTGGTGACTTAGAGGGACCATAGTTTATTGCAGGTGAAATCCACTTAGAAATTTTAGTAGGATCGGTGGTAAGAATGCGGGTGGCCTTCATCCGGTCGTCATTTATGCGTACGGAAGTTGATCGCTCGAACGAGTAACATATGGAAAGTCGAAGCGGATAATCAACAGCATGAAGTTGGGAAACAAAGTACGGAGAAAAATGCTAATCAGTATGAAAAAATAAACTAGCGGTTGAAATTGATCCGTGAGGGCCGCCTGTGATGGAAAAGTCCCCTCCACATGCACCTTTGGCACATAATTCTCTGGAAGGGCGCCGTTCGAGTTCACCATGTTTGAACGAAGGTCATAGTCAGGATGCTTAGCAAAAAGTTCAGCGTTTTGGAATCCATCAAAAGCTTTTGAGCAATGCAATTCCACCATAATGGTAAAGGGAACAGGACCACACACGAAACGCACAGGCCAATAGAGTGGTCATGCACTGGTTGTACCCGAATTCAGGACGGTTTTCTCTTCAAGACTTCATCATCATCATCATCATCATCATCATCATCATCATCATCGACAGCATGACATCAGTGTTCAACACCGATGCTTCACTGCCGTACAACCATGACTTATTTGAAAGCCTTATTGTAAAGAAAAGAATAAAGGTGGATGGGGAAGGGACTTAGTGCTAGTTTAACACAATCATTCCGAGGTGACTACACCTCCAGACATTCACTCAGGCAATCTGGATAGAAACTGACAACAAGAACGCCACTGACATCGGTTGGCAGCCATATCTTGTAGTGTCTCCAACCAGGCACAGTGAGGATCACGCGGTCCCCATCCTGGAAGGCGAGTAGCACCGACAGCACCCAAGCGTTTCGTGATCTCCTTCATACTCCTCTGCCAGGTCATGGGTTGGCCACCTCTCTGTTTACGCCACTCCGAATTGGGCATGGAAAACAGTACTCTCTTCGGCAAACGATGGTTCGGCATACGTAACACATGTCTCAACCAACGCAGCTTCTGGTGCTGGGTACATTCTTCAATGGAAGTACCCGTTACACAACCGAAAACACGCTTTCTAACTGCCTCGTTACGGATTCGCTGACACCAACCCACACGAGCTATGGTTCTGAGAGAACGATTGTCGAACACCTGAAGACGTCTCAGGTCCGCTGCTCGAATAGGCCAAGTCTCACAGCCATACAACAAAACAGCCCGTACTGTAGCTTGATACACACGTCCCTTCAGATTCAGGGACAAACCATTCTGACGCCATAGGTGTCTCAAGTTAGCAAAGGCGGCCCGAGCCTTGCAGATTCGTCTCAATTATTACGAGAAAGAGCGTTTTAGATGTAGAATCTAAGGCTTCCCATCAAACCTCGCGGTACTTCTGCTTGTTCCATGTGGCCTTATCTGATGTAAGTTTACACAGGAACGCAGAGTGCTTGTAGATACACTCAGAACATATTTTATCCTTTCCATGAGTGCTAACAGAAGTAAGCATGGAGAAGTGAAACAATCACATAACTTATTATACGACGGTATGCTGACACTGAACACAAGACCATAAAACCGAAAATAGCCGATAATACGAAGCTGCGCACAGGTAGGCCTAGCATCATACTGACTCTGTGAATATAACACCAGGGTAACAATTTGCATTTTCACAAGAGACGTGGCTAGGTGAATGATAGTGGTAATGTTCTGGCTCCTATTTTCCCAAAACCAATACAGATGCGATTTAGTGGACTATTTTACATCCGCATCTTCATCCGTTAACCGAACACCGAATTTATCGGGCAAAATTCACATGGGAAAACTTACCGTCACCCAGACTGTTTCATAATAGCTTTGAAAAGCGCACCATCCGATACATTCATGAAGACTAATCTACAGGTTTTAGGTGGAGTTTTAATTTTCATCTGTCCACCAACTAATAACCCGGAAATTTCGTCCGGTTAATCAAAAAATCCTCGTAGAGGACACGATAACTGACAAAATGTGCTTGGAGTCCTGTTTCAAAGGTTGTGGTTGGATAAGGTTTTACCTTTACTTTATACTACTTTCTTATACAGGTAGTTAAGAAAAAATGTGGGGTGTAGCGTGGATGACGGTAGCGATCGGGTGTGAAGCTGAAGTGATTTGACCGATCGTATAGTGAATAAGTGGTATAGCAGGTGCTTAGAAGGAGTAGTTCCATTTAGTGCGGAGGTGCAATTGTTAGATTTTATGCATAGAATTCCATCTTATCTCTTCGGTCGAGCGGAGGTACTATCGATTAGAGCTCGAGAAAGCTCAGTAGTGACGGCGTCAGTTTAATGACCGGAAGGTTTTTTGTTCGAACCCAACCGAAGCATCCCAACTGCCCCCGTTTGGGATTAGGCAGCCTGACGGTATCCCATTGCTGACGTCTTCTTCCGCTGGCATGGGGCCTGGGTACCGAAAGGGTGCTACAGCTGAATGATTACCTTTTTAATCTTATATCTTTCCACGTGCGCCTTGACAAAAGTAGACAAATGGAGAGTTTCGTTGAAGGCTGAATGATTCCTTTTTAATCTTATATCTTTCCACGTGCGCCTTGACAAAAGTAGACAAATGGAGAGTTTCGTTGAAGGCTATGGAGGTATAAACAGAAGAAATCGATTGCACACTTCTCCCAAGTCTCACAAACATGGTTTTATCATTCCATCGGATAGTACACGACACTTCAATACCATTCTAGCAAACAATCAGTCCAAATGACAATCTATTCATGTGTGGTAACAATTGGTGTGCTGGAAACAAGAACAACCCAGCAACGATTATCAGAGCGTCCATCGTCACTTTAATCTGGATTGACTGCATGCATGTGCCAGTTACTATTGACTCGGTTCTTAGATGAGTGAGGATGAGTGGGACTAGAATGTTGCAAGCTTCAGGGGTGGGCCATTTGTAATGTTCTTACCCCCAAAAGATGGATTACAACGAACAAATGTATTTTTAGATGGGGGTTCCCGTCTTTACATGAAACCAGTCTATTCTGAAGAACCAAGAAGCACTGCGCAATTGTTTTTTCCTTATTGGCAATCAGCAGCAGTGTGAACCTCATAAAACTCAATGGGATTTCAACTCCGTAACTTTTTGGCTAGCAGCTGAACGCTCAACCGTTCGGCCAAGGACGGGTGATCAGCAGCGTGATTAACTCGCACCAACACAATGTAGCATCGCTCATCCTTCAATCATGTGACCCCAATCACAGCCATACGTTGCTCCTGGAGCAATGACTTCTCAGATGGAAGTCCCACACATCCGATGAATTCTACTTCTACTGTCAGCCACTTGTAGACTGTTGATGGTGTGGGAGGATTTGGAAATTTCAATAGATATTTCGTCTTGTCATTGAATCCGATCTATGCTGGAAAGTCAAGGAACACTGTCCAGCTGGTTCGTCCCTATTGAGAATCATGGGTAGTGCGCGTCTCACGAAACTCCTGAGAGTCTCGATTTCGCGAACAGTTGGTTGAAACACTTAGTCACTCGACATCCAGCGGCTCATTACTCACTCGCATTGTGACCTAAGATCAACGCGATTTCAATGTTTGTTGCCCACCATGGTTGTATGGCAACTAAGCACCATGATGTCTTACTGGTGCATTGTTATCAGTGACGGCGATGATTTACAGATCAGTCACTGAACGAGCGCTGCAGTCACCGCTCTTAGAACACGGTCAGCAGTTTAAACCCGAGGCTTAGAGTAGTATTTTCTCTGTTTTATTCATAAGCTCGTAGATGATATGGGGAGTGACTCGAAATATGATTTAAAATAAGCGATTTTTGCAATGAGGATAAGAAACCCATCACACTGAACTCGTGCATATGGGGATAATGTGGAATGTTCAGATTTCATAAGACGATCTTGATACTTCTTACAGGGTCACTAAATGATCGGGTACCAAAGGAGTCACTTAAATCAATGTGAATAAAATAACAACTCGCTTTAAGAAATAGAACATGAGTTAAACTTGAATTAGATTTTTGCAGCAACATACGTATGAAATAATTGAGCCAAAGGAGTAAATTTTGTTCACTTCCTGTATTACTCTGTCGGCACAGGAAACAGTAGGATATCCTAGTCCCTTGATAAAAAAGTAATTTAAGGGGCTGGTACAAGTGCTGGCGAAGCTCACAACTGGTTTATTCACTGTCGAGGCCATTGTTCCTGCCTCATGAGCAATCAATTTCAGACTTACTTTATATTTGAACACCAGATCGAAAGTTTCACTAGGCAAGCCTATTGATCACCGAGACCGCTTGGTTACATGCGGCACCCTAGGTAGAGAGTTTCACAGTAGCTTGAGCTAAATTATGTCCGTGGGACCCAGTCATAAACTGCTTGTTAAAATTGAAGTTAGCTCAACATCTTGGCCACTAACCAAATCTTTCATTCATCGAAAAGAGTAAAACAAAAATCAGACCACTATTGACGAAGCAGTGTTTGTAGCCCCCGTCCCCTTTTTGGGACGGACGTCTCATCAGGCCGCTCATCTCGGAGGTGTTTACGACTCAAACTCCATCAACTGTTAACCACGTTTAAATGTCTCCCATTGATCCGTTTTTCTATCTGAAGCAAAAACCTGGCTACTGCTACTGCTGCTGCACGCTTTGGGATAGTCACAATCTGCATTTATGCGCATCACATGCAAGAATCTTAAACAGAGCAAGCTCAAACAGACAGGTGCTATATTAATATGGTTACGTCAGGTGCAACTCTGTAAGTGCGCCTTTTTATCTGTCCCTCACACTTTCAGTCAAAAATCAGTAAGTGTTGAAGCCAATAACATTTCTGTGCAGAACTTTTAACGTCAACATCGCCACAGCTGATGAGCAACAGCTAGTCACGTTTATTGTGCCAAGTGGCAATGCCAACCAACTTCTGGTGAAGTTTACGCATGGATGGCGATGGAAGTTAAATTGCCAAAGGTTGTAGAGCGAAGAGTCGTTGGATAGTGACAATGACAGCTGTGTGCAGAAGCGGAAAACTTCCAAACGCGGTTTCTCTAGCTACCTCGCGCCTTACAAAAAACAACTCTAAATTACAAGCTAAGCCATCGCGATACGACTACTTGACAATTCTGCCACGAATTTTTCTAATTTTACGCCGCCCTACCACCACATTATACATAGCCGAACTATCGGTCTGCATTATTTTCAGACCAGCTCAATTTAATGGTGTTTCCTTGTACAGTCTTCATCGTATCAAAGACAAAGACAGCAAAGACAAACACAAAAATAGCCCTCTCCGGAAAACAGAGTATGAAGGAGGAAGCATGAACCATCATCTCAGTCAAGCAAAGTCAAAGAAAAAAGATCGCAAGCTGACGCAGAGAGAAATACTACACAATCATCAACCTAAAAATGCCCATACAACCATGTGAGAATGAAAGTCTGTAAGATTTGAGTCAAGAGGAAAACCATCAGCATGTCAAAAAACATCTAATAGCGAGTAATGATGGTTGAAATGGATAGCTTACATGCCTTGCGTTTTTTAAGAACTGCAAATATCTCAAGGACCGATCGTATTTGCCTAAAGTAGGCTGTGTAAAAAGGGCTCATTTTTAGTTCTAGTAAAAAACCTGCTCAGTTGATTAGCGGTCGTTATGGGGGGTCACCTATTTGGAAGACAGCCTTGTAGGTGTATTGTGTATTCTCTTCCAGTAGAAGATGCCTAGTTAAACACAAAGTAGCTGCGTGAGTAGGTGATGAGACTTTACAGTAAAAACAGCACATAAATTGAAACACGTAATCGTGCTGAAGATTCAAGATATCATAAAGGCAACAACGTATATATGACAGTAGCATGGATACTTGTCGCTACCANATAAATTGAAACACGTAAGCCTGCTGAAGATTCAAGATATCATAAAGGCAACAACGTATATATGACAGTAGCATGGATACTTGTCGCTACCAATGTACAGTATTTCTCAGGGTTCACCTCTCAGAAAAGTAAGTGTGTTTTGCTGGAGATTCTCAATCCCCGATTGACCACTTTGTTGAACTCCCATAAAACGCCTATACAATCATTTCAAATCACCAAAATACATGAATAGGAGTGCCGCTGAGGGCGATCCTTTAAAGGCCATATTGAAGAACGGTGTTTTGAATGTGACCACACGCGTGTGAAATTTTTGATGATAAATTGAGCCATGACGGAATGAAATTATTACAAAGAAATTGCAGTACCAACAGTATCGTTTTCTTGGCGTTAACAAAACAGGGGAACGACATAAATAAAAAGGATATATTTTAACTCTGGTTGTTCATTACCCGTCAAACTAGTTGTTATTAACGAAGAAAGTAGTGACGTTCAGCAATACCATTAAGATTCGAGTGCGAAGCACCGGCTAATGAAAGGATATGTAACAATCAATGATCTAAGTAAAGCATAGAAGTTGTGCAGCCACTGTAGCGACTTTTAAGACCATTATTACCATTAAGGGATGGCTTTTAGAAACTGGAGCAGTTCATAAGAGCGGAACAGTCGTAATCCATGCAATAAAACGATTATAGATTTTAAGCATTCACTAAAGGAGTGAACTACAGAGCACCGAAGGTGATTTATTTCATTGTGTTATTTTGTTATTATTTTTTATCCAAGATTATACGGACCAACATGATTTGGAGAATCAATTTGCGCTTCAAACGAGGCATGATAATTAGCATATATGTGAGGTGGTTAAAGCGCAAGCCATTTAATCAGACAAGTCTGTACCATGAAACGTGATCTTTACAGTGAAAACAGTCTTCTTCATTAGGAACTCGTATCATTTGCTCACTCAAATCAGATTTTGTGGCCAATGCACTAACAGGTCGGATTCTCTCTGGTTCCAACTGCTCCGCGTTTGCTGCTTTGACTCTAGATGTTCTGACTGGAGGGTTATAACAACGAAGACCTCGAAGTTTGGATGAAGCATTAGAGCGTATGGTGCGAGGAGAGAAGGGCTTCTCTTCAGTAAATCGGTGTTTGTGTGTCTGTAAAAGGTCACCAACCTCCGAATGCCGAATTCTGCTTTGCTGTAAAATAAAATAACATTGTTAAGCCCATTTAGCAGATTTTCGTTAAGTACTTGTCTCAGCTACACGCCTTCAAAAATGAATGCGCGATTCGTAAAATGTCTTCAGAAGGAATGGTTATAAAAAATGGCGGCGTTTCACCCTGAAAGACAGATATGGAATGGCAGGAGCAGGAAGGAAGGTACTAACAAGATTTGGCCAATAACGCTGGGCTTGGCAGTATTTTTTAAAGCGTGAGTTTACACATGCGTCTGCCTTCGCGGATATGTACTTTCTTCTACCGCCTATAGCACTTGCGGCATCAATGCCATACAATATATGTCAAATTATGCCCATCCATCTTACCGGGCCACTGCAAAACAGTACTAGTAGCTTATTTGTTTCAAGTAAGGAATGCTAAATATCTCATCTTTGTATGCACCAAAAACCTGGATATAATATCCACGTGGCTATTGTTACTATTACTACCTCTTGTCCAATCACTCGCACACAGGCGACGGTAAGTAAACGTGATACATTGAGAAAAGTCCTGAAATGACTGTGTTCCGTGTCATTAGTTGTAGTTCTGCTATAGAGCCACTACTTCATGAAGCCAAAACATAATGTAAGTCGTACTTTACTTGATGGTTCTGTCTATCACGCGGTTGCTGAACATGAAATTAAAAACAACCTGCCAAATAAATTGCATATACACAGGTTTAAGCTTTCATTCCGCTACCTGATGAGTCAAAATTAGTTTAATATACCGACCTCAGCCAACTGCCACGAAGCTAGGTGGTCGCAATCTTTGCCGATTGTCAGCTCACTACGGCGTGATATAGAGGAAGTGTAAGGGTAGTTACTCCACCTTCATCACAGAAAGATTTTGGGGATATCACGGAACTCGAACAATGATGGAGGAACGAAAAACGGTAGAAACAAGCCCGGGTCATGTTCTGACTGACATTGATTAGGGTGACAGTTTCTTACCGTGGAATGTGAAGTTCCTGGACGTCTTGCGGCAATAGGGGAATCATTTCCGCTTGGTCTGTCATCGAGTGATTCTCTAAGATATGTTGCGTTTAACAGCAGCTCGCTGGTGAATTTATGGTTCTCTGAAGGTTTGTTTCTGATGTAGGATCTAATTATCTGATCTACAGAAGGGTCGTCTGAAAATTTAGTCTTTATATACTGCACTTGCGTCGAATAGAAATTACATTTTTATTATTGGAGGTTCTTAGAATCTCATTGAGACACATGAAATGTGAAGAGCTTCTTGCATTCTTCTGATACCCTCTAGCTATAATTTTCGAGATTTATAGGCATTGCCACAAAAAGGTAAGCCACTTGTTGGATTGTTCCAGTATGAATATGGCAGTGTGGTATCCACGGCAGCTATGGAAAATCTGAATATGATAGAATTCAAGCACCTTTTACGTTTTGAAGCTTTCGATTATGTGCATTTAAATGTTGTTTCACGAGTATATGTGAAGAGACCATGGACCTTGTGGGAAAGACACCTGAATCGAAATAAAACGTATTTTTGCAAGATATACACGATACTTTGGACAAATACATTCCTTTTGTTTCTCCCTAAAATGGAATTAATAAACCGATGACAACCAGACAAACCAGACATAGCGCCCTTCGAGGGCTACCAAAGACGCTCGCTTTGATGCGGTCTAACAAACACCGGTAACCAGATTTTCTCAGTTCATTAAGCTAAGAAGATCAGGTGATATGGTCCGAAACCACCCTATGCCATCACAGAGCGTGTTGCGATGTATGAACTATTCCTAAACATTCCTAAATACTCCTAAATACTCCCTTCGGAACGTTACCAGACCAGATATTGCAAAGATACCACGGATTCACGGATTCACGGATTGATACACAGGATCGAGGCTTTTTCCCAAGTTTCCCGGGTCGGTTTTGTTCTTGTCGGTCAGTGGCTGTCGTTCACCTGAAAGGCACAAGTGAAAAAAGGGTGTAGCACTGCTCTTTATGTTCTCAGCGGGACAGTATGCTCGCCGGCGCGAGGATTCGCATAAATAAATGTCTAACAGTGCTGTAAATTGGGTTCGAGAAGGAGCGTGTACAACCGTCGAAGGAAGGTCATTCCACGCAGCTACTACCCGAAATGAAAAAAGTTTTGTCTAATGAATGTGTGTGCCCTGAGCTTGGACATTTTCAGATCACAGCACTCAGCTTCTCCCCCTATGTGTCATTACCGTATCGTGGATGGGATGACAACAGGCACACCTGTGAGAGAATCGGGCGTACCCGATGGGAAGACAGAGGTTGAATATCTCATCATTAACCGAATTAAACCACCTCAAATCTTACAGGATACGGTGGTGATTGCAGCACTCCTTCGCACCAGGTCTTGAGTCCTTACGACATGCTGATACCTTGGTCCTATTCTTATGCTGGTGTCCCAAGGTGATATTCTCCATCGTGAGTTGTTTCACAAAGTTTAGACTCGCAAAGCGGGACGGTGGAATACATACCATGTATAAAGTGAGGTTTCCATTTAAAAGCTCATTCCGGAGTGGTGTGTGAAACCTTCTGGATTTAACTGGTCTCCACTATACCGGATATACTGAACGGAGTCTTCATATCACCAGCAGTCAGAATTGCACCTGTAGGCAGGTTGTCTAGGCATAAAATAAAACACTGGTCTACGTACTGAACCTTGGAGTGCTGCAACCAGTGGCGTCGGTTTGAGCCAAGCGCTATTTACCGCTGCATGCCGACACTCCCTCCTCTGTTGGCTTCTACGCAACCAGTTCGTGTTGCACTTTATCAAAAACGCTGCTGAAGTCAATGGAATTTTGTCAGGATTGTTCCCACTAATAGACCAAATTGGCCAACTCGCTTAGACGTTAAAAAAATACTGAGGCCTTCTAAGGAGATGAAGAAGCACCGGATTGCTCTTAACGCACTTTTAGGGCGCAATCAAGCTGTTAGATGAACGGTCGTACATGGGTCTCAACCAAACACATATTCGTGTAGTCTTCGTATATGACACTTACTAATGTGGTACATAGTTCTACATTTCCATTAACCGGTCCCCAAATAGAAAATGCGACTGCGGGATGGTAATAAATCAAATAAATAAGTCAAATCAAAAAATAAATCAAAAATCAAGGCAACCTAAAGCTGTTTCACAGGGATTACCCTGCATTTAGTCCTACAGGAGCCTTTCTTTGATTCAAGTTAAGGCATGTAGGTCCAGACCCTGGTATGCACACATCTTGCTCAGCTCTCCCAGCTTTCAGCATCGTATCCTGAGGAGTACCAAACGGCGCGTATGTTTGAGCATGGGTTATCATCCCTATCCTAGAGAGTGAATATTGCTAAGATACGCTATGGTGCACAGCGTCACGTAGTTATCGTCGGTGTTAAACGAGGTCTGAAATGGTCCGTCAGTTGGCATTATGAATTTTCACGCTGCCCGCTTTTGTCAGGTGTCATGCTTCTTCGTGCTTGCCGTAATCGCCAGATGACGAGGTCTTAAGGCATTTCTGGGAAATCCAACGTTCAAGATACTAAGCCAACCACCGTTGCATTCGGTTATGTTTAAGTTATCGGGTCCAGTGGGCGCAGTTACTCCGGGATTCCCACCGAAGGTAACCGATAACCACCTGGTGTTACAGCAATCTCCGCAGTCACAAAAGGCTTCAATCGCCTGGATCTTAGCAACAGCGCCATCAACCTTAGCTCCCGTAGCATCAGTTCATTTTTTAAATTTGCCGGGTAGTTAGAAATTTAAATCGTATACGTCCACGAAAAAGAAGGATCCAGTGGATGTCTGTAAGCCAAGGGAGTATCCATGCGGCAAGGTCCATAGTTCATTCAGCCCGTTCTTGATAAACCGTGCATTAGCGATCAAGACATAAAACGTACATTATCCATTAGCATTAGGCCCTGTGTTAACCGACCTTCAGTTGACTCGGGGGTTGTTCGCCATGCAAAGATTTGAGGTCCACAAATAAGCATCGTCTGTCCATTCTCCGCTTCTCGTGCGTTTGACGGCTTCTTTTTCGGATCTGATATTTCAGAGATAGGTCCAAAAGAGACTAAAAAATCTGCTAGTCGATATGCCTACTAAAATACATGCTTAAAACCCCATATGTAATTGACGAACCCCCCATTAGAAGCACCGTGCACAGCCCAAAGGCAGCTTAAGGAAGGACTACGATGCCCGGGATGATAAGCAATCCTCACGTGTCATTCGTAAATGTGCGCATTACACCGTGTTTAAACGTCCGTCGCACAATTTTGGCTTGCCTTTAAGGTCTACATCGTTTTATACCTCATACTTCAGTATTATGCGTTTTCGACTTTTCTAAAGTCTACCATTACAATCGAAGGTGCACCAAGCTAAGTCAGCTTTTTAGCTTCATTCTAAATCGCTAATATTTCAAACCAAAATATAAAAAGTCCGTTGTGGTTCTACTTTACACAGTGAAGGCTGATCTTTACGGTGTACGGAGACCCGTCTAAGTTCCCAGAGGCGGGCTCTCTGTTTTGGAGACCAAAACTGAAGCTGTTGTGAATTCCTTATTTCGCTAGGACCGAACGATCAGGTATAGGCAAAGTGGGGTGAGTTCACTCAGGTACACAGTGGCACTCCGAAATATAAAAATGCAACGGTTTACTATGACATGCAGCTAGAGGTCAAGAATTGAAGCGATGCGGCATACAGGATTTCGGTTTGCCCGAAGACATCTTGTACACAGCCTGTCGACTAATCTATTTGCGAACACTCTGATGATTAAGTTAACCCAATTTTGGTGGTTCACTACTGAAAATTCAGCCTCAAACTTCATTACTATCTAGAGTATTCACATGACGTTTTCCTCCACAGTTTTATTCAAAGCACATGAATTTACGTCTGTTGACACGTCTTCTTACGTCCACAGGATTATTCCGACTGGAGATGACATCTTTGGATCGCGTTTTAGGCCAGACAGTGCGTTATTCAGTTATTCACCTTGACTACTTCAGCCTCCGCAATGTGATCAGTAAGCAAAATGCTACTTGTGTGATCTGTAATCGGCTAAATCAGGAGGTTAATAACAATCAAGACGGAAAGAAGTTAGCGGCGGTATTGTTGTGGCGAGGTCCGTATACATCGCACGACTTTCTCTGCTAAGCAAACCTCCTTGAAAACCGGGTTGAGAGCATTATTCACCCAAGTACCATGTCATTTAAAGGGGTACAGGAGAAGGTTTTATGAACGTGACTCCTGTCACGACCCCATGTGTTGTGGGCTCCGAGGCCGGAATTACGTATGAACGGTTTGCTGTTAATAGAACGCGCGAACATGGATAATTGGGTAGGGACATGGAGAGGCCTGACACGAAGCGCTTGGTGATGCGGTTGGTAACACCTATGCAAAGGAAAGAAGGCAGCATACAGCAACCGTCACTTCTGGTTTTAAGCCGTGGTATTTTTTCCGCAAAGTAAGCTTTAACTTCGTTACCCAGCCGCCTAAGGGTTTGATGGACAGCCATGAAAGTTTATGCGCTTATCTATCAGCCTTAAGTCAGTGAACATCATAAAAATATCAACTCAGTTAATGTTACTTGATTTTGGATCTCAAAATGTGTTGTATATTTCGGCTGTGTGGGAATTTGATGAAAAATACGAAATTTCTGTGGGGGCCGCTGGCATGTGAAGGAAAAAAATTATGGTCACTGTCCACATTAAAAGTTAAGTAGTGGAATTCAGTAGTTCGCTCTACTCATTTCTTCATATAAGGTTGAGGATGTCAGAAATGCAGACAAGATGCCTGGAAGCCAGAAAAATTGGTGTGCGGTTCTCACCCGAAACATTCCAAAAATCTAATAATAATGATACTGTTTATTTTTAGCTGATAAGTGGCATGTCTTCATGCATGGTCAAAATTGTGCGGTCGGAATAAAGGCACGACTGACGTCCGCGGCGTAAACGGAGCAGTCACACACATGGTGGGCGTTACCCGAAGCAGATGACACCACGACGCCCGAATCAGCGCGATCTAAACGCGGCGGATATAAGGGGCGGATAAACAATTGTGCTAGTGTTTTTTCACTCTTAGAGAACACGAAATTAAAGTATTGTAGGACAAAAATTCGAAGAGGGAAAGCAATGTCAGCGTGGTAAAACAAAACTGTGTGATTCTCCCTAATACGCGATGGAAAACTACAAATTTCACAATGTATGGAATCAGAATAACGAATCCGGAGAGGCAGCAGTGTTTCAAAGAACCGGTCGGCCAAGCGGAACTAAAACTAAACAAACTAAAACTAAAGCAATTTTTAGGACTGCATGGCCCTTGACAACTGAATTTATAGCCAGGGTCAACGGAAACATGAGCGTGGGCGATGGAGTGGATAAATTTGTATTGCGGATGAATGGTAGCTTCAATCTCAGCATTGCAGTGAACAATACAACCGTATAAACTCACAGGTGTCAGTAATATTGACTTGTGTGGAGGACAAACTGAAACTGCGCCGAGATTGTTACAACTAATTATTGCGTCGAGCAAATTATAAAAAACTCGTTCCAGGTGAGGTTGGGGCCAAGTAAGCAGTTTGCTTAGATTTTTGGCCGGGACTTTGAGAAACAGAATAGTTGTGGATATGCTGTGGGACTGAGCATGGCAGTGTCATTTCATCATTGCAGTGAAGTACTTTGGTTTCCGGATGGCCTCACAACAGACACCAGGGTTAAGGTGATCGGACCGGGATGTGCAATTTCGTAGGCAGCGGAGCTTGGGTTAACCATGGGCATCCACATTCTTCCTCTCAAGCCGCTGAAGAATCACAGGCGACTTCGGTTCATTTAGAAGTCAGTATAGATGTAAGGCAGTGATGGAATGCGTCCACAGGGGGCGTTCGAACCAGCAAAGGACTAAATGGGACATGGTAGGAGTAGATTTGTGCTGAGCATCCTAGCAATAAAGGATTCGCTAAGCTATCAGAGTGCAAGAGGAACAGAACAAACCAGTTTGAGTGCCCTTCAGTTAAGGGATTGGGAAGCGTACTCAAATAACGCTGCAATAGGCTAGCATTATTGTTAAGGCTGTGTCTTGTGTTTTCCAGGAATGAGGGCGTAAGGCCGGGGAGATATGGTATTTGCGTAAATTTCTCTAACTGGGTAGGGAGTTAACCGGCGTGGTAACAAGTGAAGGGTTAGTCACTAGGGTAGCGAGCATAGAGAACAGCAGTTGGCGGCTGGGGTAAGTCAAACACGGGGCTGTTGTAATCTGTAGTGTCATCAGAAATACTCCATTGTGCGGAGGCGATGTGATGAGGACCATTGGACACATAAAACTGTTGAATATAGGTGACGAAGAACTGCTGTTAGCTTCGATCAATAAGTGGTGCATTGCGAATAAGCCCACAGACGCTAGCTATGAATAGTGAAGCTAGTCTTGAGAAGTTTATTCCATATTTATTTATTTATTTAGTTATTTAATGAAGGTCACTCTTGGCAGCCGAAACGTCGGATTACAAAGTCTTTTTTGCTACACTGTGTTTTGACATTAAAAATTCCATATGTGACTCTTCACGGAGCAGTAGAGGGGAACGTGCATGTTATTTTTGGTTAACGAAGTGAACTTGATGCGGTGCATTCAAAACTAATTTGAAACTGGCGGTGGAGTTGCGCATTGGTGTAAGTCGTTGGCGTTGCATAATATGGCCAAACCATCACAAGTAGTCTTACAACAAAGAAAGTGTCGTAGTTCCATCATGGCGTTGCCAGATGAATTACAACCGGGCCAAGTCCAAATCGGCAACTTAAACATAAAAACAGTGTTTTTTAAGGATTGTCTGAATTAAGAGCCGGCCTCTCAGTCATCGGTGATGGGTGAAGCCCCCCTGACAATGAAACTGTGGCTGGTACGCGAACGGATCATGCTGCCGCTGAATAGGACAACCGTTCTAGCGCAGATTGTACATCGATAAAGCATCCAAGCTACCAGATATTTGATCCTGTCGGGAAAACCATGGCAATAAAGCAGCTTAGTAAATTTTAACAAGCATACAGCCAGGAGACGCTAGAAAGCGCAGTTTGCAGCTACCAGCTGGGTAGCGGGAATAGAATAACTATGTTCAGAGCAAGTAAAACATAGCTAAACAAGAACATCATTGCTGTAGGCCAACATATCAAGCAAAGGCGCACCGCAATGTTATGTCTGCACGCTTAATCGGCTGTATAGCCCCCAAAAAATGTCATTTATTGCGCACCATTTTGCGCATAATGCCCACTTAGGAATGAGGAAATCCAACTTCGATTTGGATTATGTTAAATTGAGCCAGGCAAAATGACGCGGGATTGTATAGACATCCTCTAGTGAGCGCTGAAATTGTTTTGGCGGAATAAGGCACATGAAGTAGTCGGGCAGATTAGAGCCGGTCTAATTGGGTGCACATGTGGGAGCCTCAGGTTAACGCCATATGGTAGTAGCTGTCAAAGTCCACTGACCGAGCGCTGGCATCCGAATGGAAATTGTATCTTTTTTTAATGCGCCAAACTCAACTCCGTCCATCATGGGAGCGAAATCCAATTTAAGGGTAAACAAGGTGAAAAATTTGCCGATTTCATTTGAGTAATGGGGTATTTACCAAATATATTTTGTCCGCTGAGTGCAAAGTAATGATATCAGCAAGACTTTGTTGCGGTCAACGTAGGATTTAGGTTAGAGATTAGTTAGTGTAACTGTGGGGTGCCCTGGGACGGAACCTAAGACGCCGCCCGTCGAGTGGGTGGTGAACTGAACTGGAATTGAAGTCTGCGAAACGCAGCAAGGAGTACTAGGGCCGGTTGGCTGGATGATAGGTTTTTCTAGGTCATGAAGTTGTGTCAGGTTTGATTATTTGCGACCCTGTTTGATGCCGGCTCTTTTTGATGTTACACCAAATCCTTTGAACTGGATGCTGAAGGGCCAGGTCCAGGTTCGTCAGGCCCTACCGGTTCCAGCATGTTGCTAGACATCTGCATTAAAAAAGGTTGTGAGCAAAATACTGTCAGTAACGCTGTGGGTGCTTATTGCTCTCGTCACATTCGTTCATGAGAAATTGCTGATAGGCAGTTTAATGGTTAAAAACAGTGCTGTGTGCACAACTTTAAACATCACTGGCGGCAGAATTTGTCAATAAATAAATAACCTTCACCCCACATCGTACAAGCACAGTCGCCTCCTCAAAACACCACCAATTTTCGCAAAGTCGTGAATGAGCCGAGACTCAATGCAATGAAAATCAACTGACACGTCCAGTGCTAACGTAGCCATGTAGCGTCCATGGGAATCGCTCTAGGGTGCACCGCGAATCAGGAAGTGATCATACTCAGGAAGCATATTTGACACACTGACAAAATATTCTCCAGTCGACAAAAATGCGTGATGTATGGAGCCATATTGAGCAACAAATAGGGGGGACCTGCAAAAAGTAACAAACTAGCCAAAGAAAATAAATTGACGGCAACCACCAGACAAGCTCGGCAGCCATTTAACTTCAAGGTAGTCAGTCAGCAAATTAGCACAAATGGGAAACGGACCAAGGAAACCGGAGAAGTTCAAGAGTTGCCAAAGCGACTCGCAAGTGGCAAACCGCAGCGCATCAAACTTTTGAACATATTATGGCCCATAGACCCTGGAGGTTTTCCAAGGGATAAACCAAACACGAAGAATACCGAAAATCACAGAACCTATGAATGCGGGAGATCAAAGAAGGATACTTACTCAGCAAAGCGCTTCTCAACTTGTGGGAGAATATTTCCACGTCAATAGTCCGGTTTGGTAAACAGACCAAAATAGTGATCACCAACCGATAAGAGCGGGTTGCGTTGTAAAAACGGCACCCACAAAATGCACCAAAGGCCATTCGCAATCACACTGTTAATTGTGAAATACCCAATTTTGTGTATGAAATTCTTTCATAATATTCATCTCCAAAGCATCATGGAAATAGTTGGTAGCTGCTCAGCTACTGCGGAGCGTTGTATTTCCCTGTAGTGTGCTAAAACCAAAAACAACGCCAGCTAATTTATAAGATTATTTGAAAGAATTCAAAATATACTATCACCCAATAGGAATCCATACAAAATGCTTGGTTAAACTGTGCAAAGTGCGCACGTAGCTAGATGTGGAAAAATCGAGCAAACACATGAAATTAATTGAGCCGGTTTTGTTACAGGGTTTCAAAAATGTGACTTCATTGATTTTGTTGACCGATGAAGTAACCGATTCCACCATGCCCTTTGAAACGTAGTTAAAAACGCTTTCAGATACTCCAAACAATCGCACACACCATGCCGAACACCCCATGACTCATGCCTCATTGGTCCGGCATTTTTGTTTTTCCCAATCTGCGATTAATTATCATGAAATGAGTAAGTCTCCCTGGTTCCGCCTTCCTCACCGATGCGGTGTTTCCTATCACGTTCAGGTGGTAACGGCCTCATCGTGCATCAACTGGTATCCTCCCTACCATGATCGGGTAACCACAGACGCCTCCAAAGGCCCCTCAGCCGCATGAAGTGTTACCCGGCCCGCGCACACTGGACCTTAAAGTAATGTGATGGTTTATTTAATTCCTCGACCCGTTGAGCTATATTGGGGAAGTCTGCTCGACACTCGCAGAGTCCCCCACACCAGGTGCGTTAATGGCTAGACGTACACAGGTTCCTGGTTCTTCACGATGGGGGTGGAACATGTTTGGTCACTCGTTTTGTAAAAGCTGGAATGCAATCGCATTTCCCAACAAGAACCGCTGCGTTGCGGCCAAGCATTTGAGCAGCAGGCTTTGGCTGAGAACCCTAATCGCCCTGCCGCATAAAAAATGGAATACCTGTACAGGCAGACGATATTTTCGTCGTATGTTTGTTAGCCATAGCCGGTCCCAGAAGGGCAACTGAAACGCCTTGAGGACTTTGACAATCGTTTTCTCAGGAAGATAGCGCGTGTGGGCTGGCGTCGGAGAATCCGTGACGAGGGAGTTAGAAAACGAGCTTTCGTTTGTGTAACGGTACCTTCTATAAAAGCATATCTTCAACTGCGGAAGCCTCGTTTGTTAGTCTAGTGACGGTATTTTTCTCAGCTTAATTCTGCCTGTGAGCAGCTAATCTGGCGTACACGTCAAGATAACCACCAAAGGTGGACAAGGTATATTAACGCCCAAAACAAAGTCAGGAATGATTGTAAAGCGCTCCATATATATGGAGCAGGCTGCAACAGCTTTCTGGAAGTTCTGACGCCGCGGCATTGGCAACCGGCATTTGGCTGAAACTGGATCGTGGTTGACTGTGGGGTCCAGATTTCGACCAATCAGACCGCGGCGTGATGTCAGACCGGCAAGCGTCCCAATTTTTGGTCAATCTTTCTCATGACAGACTTCTTAGCCGTAGCAAGACCTGACTGCGGGCAGTAAAGCGGGGTCTGCGTGAATTGCTGCCCAGCATATGGGCTATCTACTGCGTACGGCAAACTACCGTTTGATGAAGAGAGTGCTGTATTCCTTTTCCATTTCAGAGTAGCCGGAGCAGAGAGGTGGCCAGTCCTTGCGCTGGCAGAGCAGAGATGTTATGCAACGCTCGGGTGCTGTCGGTGTTACTCTCCTTCCAGGACGGGGACCGCGTGATCCTCGTTGCGCCTGGTTGGAGACACTGTAAGATATGGTTTCTAACCGATGTCAGTGGCGATATTGTCAGTTTCTATCCCTTCCCCATCCATCCTTATTGCTTTCTTCACAATAAGGCTTTCAATTAAATCATGGTTGTACGCCAACGAATCATCGGTGTTGAACAGTGATGTCATGCTGTCGATGATTATCATGATGATGCTTACTCATCGCGAAGAGACTGGACCTGATTAAGGTGTAACGGTTTGCGTAACTCACGGATTCACGGATTGATACACAAACGGTTTGCGTCACGGATTCACGGATTGATACACAGGATCAAGGCTTTTGCCCAAGTTTCCCAGGTCGGTTTTGTTCTTGTCGGTCAGTGAGTGTCGTTCACCTAAAAGGCACAAGTGAAAAAAGGGTGTAGCACTGCTCTTTATGTTCTCAGCGCGGGGCAGGATGCTCGCCAGCGCGAGGATTCGCATAAATAAATGTCTAATAGTGCTGTAAATTGGGTTCGAGAAGGAGCGTGTACAACCGTCGGAGGAAGGTCATTCCACGCAGCTACTACC